AATCTTATTGTGGGTCTAGAATTTATTGATCCACAGGAAGCCAATCATTTTCTTCAAATAATAAAAGAAAAACTCAGAGCTATAGAGGAGCAAAAAACAGGTGAAGACGGTTTTTCTAATTTAAATTTATTTAAATTGTTTCAATTCTATGATTTGCCTTAATTAAAATTTAACCTTTTTATGATACTAAAAAAATTGTCAAGTATCAGCATTTATAGTTAACAACAAGCTTATAAACTATAGAATTCTAAATACAGTGACAGTAGTATCATTTAGTAAATAATACTTTTTTCTAATTATTGAATCTAGGTTTGGTGTTTTTTATAAAATAAAACCCAATTTATATAAAATAGACAACCATTGCGTCTGAGTAAGCGCATTTGAGAACCGTAAGTGAACACATTAGAGAGTTTTTTTTTATAGTGCTTAAAAAACTAGTTTTTGGTTCAGCTAAAAATTAATTTTTTTAAGAACCATAGCGTGATTTATTTTAAGGGTAACTAATTTTACTAAAAGTGTTTTTTAGACATCACTTAAGGACGTATACTATTTTTATTATAACTAATAGTTTATAAAAAAGATACTCAATTAATACGTTATTAAACTTTATAAAAACGACGCAAAAATATATAAATATTATCCGAGTTAACCTAAACGGATTTCTGGAAACCACAACACTGATAGATGACCTATATACCTCATCTAGATTATTCCGCCGATTCTTTCACACTTGTCCGAAGGTTTAATTTAGTAATATTTAAATAGCTTCTGGCTTCATAATTTTAGGATTTGTTTTTTCTTTTTTTTTTTAATGAAAACTTTTCTTCATTTAAAAATAAACCAAAATACATTTATGTGAGCGAAAAAGAAAATTAATGTTTAAATGCTATTTGATATAAGTTATCATAAAATAACAGTACCATAGTTAAAAAAAACGCTGGATATTTGCAGACGACCAGAAAGTCTTATTGAAAGAGCAGCTGGGTAACACAATGATATACATTTAACTAGATGCGTAACTTCGCAAAAATACTGTTAAAAAAAAGTGAATCATTTTTTTTAAGCCGGAAACCAATAAAAACAAAAATTGCTAACGTTCGTTTTTTACGTTAATAAACAAGTTTGTTAAAGTATTTATAAACTGTTTTTAAAAGCATTGATACATAAAAAAAAACAGAGCTTTAGCTTAGCATATTTTTTTACTTTTACAGCTATAATTTGAAGGTTTTCTGTGGGAATATTTTGAGTTATAGTTATAAAACTTAATGAATATATATTTATTGTGAAAAAAAAGAAATTGATAATTTTGGTATAAATGGTGACCCAGTAAACATTGAACAGTTGGTAAATAGTTGGCCCGATACTAATAACCAACTATTACCTTCAGTTGGGCCAACTGTCGGCTATTTAGTTGGTACCGTGAAAAAAGCGTAACGCTTTTACCAACACTAGCCAAATGTTTTATAAACTGTTGGTACCATTTATGGCCCAACAGTAGTAAAACAGTTGGCTAACAGTTGGTACCATTACCAACCCAAACATGTGATTTTTTTTCGCGATATTCTAAATTTGCTTTTCCACTTTAATTGAAAGTGCAAATGCTATAAATGTTTTGAATATTACTTAGTAACAAAGTTCTTTTCTTATAACCTCTAGTTACTACTTTATAGCGATTGATTGTTTATCAGATTTTACCAGTCAAACAGTACTACTGCACTCACAAAATATTGTATTTTTTATAGTTAACTTAGTTGAATACACAAAATTAACAAATTTTTTTAATCATTAAACTTTTATTTCCAGATCATTAAGTAAAAATATTTACAAATACAAAACTAAAAATATTCCATTAATTTAGTTAACCATATAAAGGACGGATTAACATCAGTTAAGTTCTTTTTAAAACATGTCACAACACAGGTACCAGAAAAAGTAAAGCCTGCAAATACCTAAAAAAAGAAATTTAAAAAAAATTACAAATTCAACCAAAAAGGTATTACGTGCATTTTGTTATTAGTAGAATTAGGCTAATAATATAACAAAATGTAAAAAAAATAAAAAAAGAGCTATAACAGCCTAGGTCTATCCACATTAACACAGTGACAAAAACGCATAGCATTTAATATTTGTAAGCAGACATTACTATGTATCTCCAGAGTAATTAAAAAAGAAAAGATTATAAAAAGGCTTGACGACACAATAAAGTAACACTGGTAAAATAACACCGCAACTTAATAATATATTTTATCAACTAAAATAATTGGACTAAAAAGATTTTATTTATTACAATATTTAAACAGTTTAGGGTCAATTATAGTTATACAATATGCACAATTATATGATAAAATAGCGAGCAACTCGTTAAATATTTCTTATAAATGGTCATTAAGAAATACCTTAGAGCTCAGTAATTGTATAAGTTTAAATAATTCTTCCTCTCTTCTAAGAGAAAAAGGAAGAGAAAGTGTTTCCAAAGCAGCATGTTAAAAAAAGTAAAAATACGCAATAAGTAGTAGTACCTGGTTTTATTATGTTATTGTGTTTCCAAAGCAGCATGTTAAAAAAAGTAAAAATACGCAATAAATAGTAGTAACTGGTTTTATTATGTTATTGTGTTTCCAAAGCAGCATGTTAAAAAAAGTAAAAATACACAACAAATAGTAGTAACTGGTTTTATTATGTTATCAGTAAACAAAGTTATTTTCCCCTTGATTAAAAGGTAATTTCCAGCATTTTTTAACTCAACTCCACCTTCTCTTTAAATGTTAACTAATGATTAATAGAGTAAATTTCACATCATATTAAACTTACAAAATTAAAATCATTTTTCAACAGTTAACAAACTAATCAAGGGGCGACAAAGGCAACTAAAAAAAAAAAAGGAACGTTATTATATTTAAAGTTATAAAAAATTTTAAAACTATTTAAATTTATAACTGTTGTTAACTGTAACTATAAATAGTAAAACTCATACTTATCTATTTTCTAAATTATTCAAAGTAAAATCAAATTAAAAGACATTACCACTGCTTGACACTGAATTCTGGCAAGTAAGTGTTCTGCTCACTGAGCAGCATTTTTTACATTATAACAATAATTAATTTCTTCTTGCCTAGATCTATCTCTTTCACTTGATAAAAACTATTTTAAAGTTGCTTATTAGCATTTACATTAATAACTTCTTTGAGCCTATTATCCACTTAAATTTTACTATTATCAAATATAGAAGTTTTAATAATAAATTATACTGTGTGAAGTGACTGAAAATCACTTCAGTTCTTTCCAATTACACTAAAAATATGTTTCACCTCTTTCCAATTGTACTGAAAAATAAATCAAAACTTGCTTAGTTAAGTTGCCAAGTTCTTCAGAATGTGAAAACAAGTAAGTAAAAAACCAAGGACAAACAAACATTTATTTATTAAAACTTCTATATTTAAACAAATTAAATTAAGCAAAGAACAGTGCCAATTCCCAATTAAAGGCTAACAAAACTTTTTCAGCTCTAGTTTGCTTGCAGACCTTGTTTGTAAAACCATGCGCATAAAAAATACATTTAGAAATGCCTAGAAACTACTTAAAAATGACATATGCTGCATATGACATATGCTCCAGTCAACGTCTAAACTTTAATGTTGCATATGATATGCAGCATTGAAGTTTGAATATTGACTGCGCTATTTATTAGTAGACATTTTCAAAAATTTCATAAAAATGTAAAATACTCTTTTCTTCTATATTGCATCAATCCATCATATGATAAATCTGAAATGAAAAAATGTAACGAATAAGTAAATAAATAGAAAAACATCATATATGAATCAAAAATTAATGTATTTGATAGATTTTTGTCCATAATAATAAGGGCATAAAAGTAGTAGTTTAGAGAAGTGTTAAAATAATTCCATGTATATATGGTATTACTTTTATATATGCATTTTGTGTTTGAGAGTGACTGAACTTATAAATGTAAGTACAGCTTATATATAAGCTACATCCATAGATTCAGTTACTCTCAAATACAAAATTATTAAAAATTGTTAAACACAAAATTATTTTATTATAACATATGTATATATAATATATATGTATATATAACATATGTGAACTGCAAAATATGAAATATTAATGACCTGGGGACAAAGTCTGTTGAGAAATTAAACTATTTGCATATGATAGACATGGTATTTTACTATAAAGTTTTAGAATAAAATTAAACCCTGCCATATAACTAATTTTAGATTTTATTTAAACAGAAAAAGAGACTCACTTTGTTTAGTTAGAGGAGATCCTCTCTTACTCCACTTTAATAAAAAGATTGACTTAGGAGTTCTTCGTCTAAAAGAAAGACAGTTGTTAAAATACAATTATATAAAAGAGTTTCTTAACAAAACTTATTTTAAAGCAGAAATTAACTAAGGTACAACTAAATTGTCATTAATACCATTTTTTCTTAAATGAAAGCAAATAACAGATTAATTTAACCTTGTTACATTTTAAATATCAGATTAATTTAACCTTGTTACATTTTAAATATATATTTAAAGGATTCTCATGTCTTGATAAAAGGTTAAGTGGTAAATTTCTGAAAAATGTGGCTGCTATTAAAAGAGTCTTTTATAAGTCTGATAAATTAGCTTACAGATTTCTTTATGGTTATAACTCAATTTGGTGCTTCAGAAACAGATTTAAGAAAAGGTACAAAAAAAGAGATTTCTTTGTTCTTTTTTCAAAAAATTTAAAAAAGTTTAACGAATCGAGAAGTTTTTCTAAAATCCTAATGATATTAACTGTGCATTGAACATCTAGAAAAGTTGGATGACCGTTCAAAAATTCAATGACATTGGCAACTAAAAATTAAAGTGTTTGAAATACGATTTTAACATTCATTTTGTGCCTATGAAAGTTAATATGATAGTTGTCTTGTTTATTTTTAATTTTTAATCCATCTTTTTTATGACGTTTGTTTAATGCTGAAATGTCACACTATATGAAATATTAACACTTTCTGCTGGCTAAACAAATCTGACATATATACATATATACCACTATAAACAAATATGACTTTATATAACACATATAAACTCCTTTTATAATAATATTAAATGACAGATATATTTATAAAAACTTTGAAAAAATAATGATAATAATAGTAAATAAAGTTATACATACAAATGTGCTCACAACCTTTAACAGTAAATTTTCGAAATGAAAATCTAAAGACTATAAATTAAGAACATTACAAATATAACATTAATTGTGTAACACTTTTCACCTACCTACCTCGAATAGGATGTTTATCAATTTTGAAAAACAAACTAATAAATGCTCTAGTTCTTGAACATGCAACATATAGTTGACCATGAGAGAAACACGGTTTTTGAGATGTGTCTTTTGCCTATAAGTTTAATTTTGCGTTACGTAATATATTGACAATCCCTAATGTAAAATACTTGAAACTAAAAAGATTTTTTTTATTTCAATGTTTTAACAACTATAGGACAATTATAGTTAAACAGTTTAAACAATTATATCTTTAAATAGCAAGCAACTTGTAAAATATACCTCATAAATGGTCATTACCAATTGTAAATTAGTACTTAGAGAATTAATAAAACATGAGTTTTATCAATTCTCCCAGTACTAATCTTCGTCCCAGAGCGGCAAAACTTACAAATCTTAATAAGATTTCCTAATAAGATTCTTAGTAAGATTTGATCTTAATAAGTTTTCGTGCGTTTTACTAATAAGGTTTGTAAGATCTTAATAAGGTTAGTAAGATTTATCTTAATTTCTTAGTAAGATTTCCAAGTTACAATATGAATCTTCTGAATAAATTTTTACTTTATGTCTTTGATACAAAACTGACATAGGTCACACCCTGTAAAAACTACCACATAATCTTTATACATATTCTGAAAATGAAATATTGCATTATTTAAAATATGGAAACAAATTATTTTAAATTGATTGCACAGTTGTTATGGTTTTTTGCAATTATTAGAGTATGTAATTTTCCTTAAACAACTAATATTCAAGATAATAAATAAATCTTAACATAGCCTGTGTAATATTATTATTAGGAATGCATATATTACATATTGTTCTAAAATATTACAATTAAACATTTTAAATTATACGCTTTTATTAAAGAACTTGTTTTTGCTAGCTCATTTGTAAGATTTGCTATAGTTAGTTGATTTTGCCACAAATAACATAACCGATTTTTTGTTTTCGCAACCATTAACAAGTTTTTGTTCTGTGTTCATCATGTTAGTCATATTCTGAAAAAACTTCAAATAAAACTAAAAATTGCATTATATTAGACAAGCTCTATATTGCATTAAGAAATATTTGAGTATTTTAAAAAAATTTACAGCTTTCTTAGTCTTAAATCATCAAAAATTGGTTAGATTTGTGCAAAACATAAAGTAGCCCTTCTTTTCTTTTTTCACATTCCACAATAAGGAGTTTAAGTAGAACTATTGGTGTTGTTTATTTTATCCCTATAAATTATTTGTGGCTTATTGTACCTGCTTGTCATTATTTGCTTCTAGATATATATTGAACTTAATACATGATTTTATTACATGAATTTAAAATTATAGGCTGATGTTTTTAATACATACATACATTCATATATATACATATATATATATATATATATATATATATATATATATATATATATATATATATATATATATATATATATATATATATATATATATATATATATATATATATAGAGATTAATTGTATCTATTTAAGGGTAAAATTATAATGTTAGGTATGCAAAATACATATATAAGGTGCATTTATACACCGTTAATGGTTTGATCTATAATGTGGTGCAAGTGTATTGGCCAATTGGCTATAGCCAATGACTCTATTGCATCGATGCTTAGGCCAATTAGCTCCTGATCATTACCAATGGCATATGCTAGATTGCAGAGTCTCTTCTGATGTATAGGTACGTATCTTTATGGAAGATTAGTCTAAACAACATCCACATTATTTTGAAATGAAAAATTGTTTTCATTTAAAATAATGTAATAAAATAAAAAGAAAATTAATTAAAACTTTGAAAATTAAAAGATATTGATTATTAATTAGTATACATAGTTTATCCGTTGAAATGCAGTATTTTCTTTTTTGAAAAGGTAGATATAATCTTAGACTAGATATATATTATTTGTCTTTGCAAATATCTAAGAAATATCACAAGTAAAAGAAACTTTCTTAACTCATCTCCAACAACACTTAAAAAATTAGCGCAAAATAAACAACCGACGACCCAAAGAGATTATATGAAATATTAACTAAATAAGATTTTAACAAGATCTATATGAGATTTGTAGTTAATTCTCGCATTTATTTCTTATGAAGATCTTAGCAAGATCTTAGCAAGATCTTTTTAAGATTTACAGGTTTTTCCTGTCATTTATTTCCTTATAAGATCTTAACAAGTTATTCAAAGAATATTTCTAACAAATCTTATTAAGATACTAATAAGTTCTTACTAATTTATGTAAGATAAGAAAGATCTTACAGATCTTAGTAAGGTTTGCAAGATTCGTCGCTTTAGGATTCAAACTATTTGAGAATAAAATCAAAAATTCTAATAAATACATATTCAGATACCTTAAAAAGAACCATAACACAACATTCTTTTGACAAATTCCTAAATAATTTTTTTTCAAATTTTCTAATCCTTATAATTTTTCCAAAAAGAAAATATACATATAGAT